AAAGTTCACATACTTTAAAGATAAATTAGGATTTAAAGATTTTTGCATTAAGGAGGAGTAAGTTAGTGGATAATGAAAAAATTAATATCTGCTATACTACCATGTTTTTATTACTCCATTTTTTTTTTTTTTCTATTCTTTCTTTTAATTGGTCAATAGTTATAATTTAGTGTCCTATTTTCTTATTAAGGTGGATTAGTTGGTTTCCTTATAATTTGGGATTAGTTGAGATTGAACTTGTATTTGAAGATGTATCTAATGAATTAAAAGTAGTATTCCACTTTTTCCACTTTATATGCGTACCACTTGTTTGATATAAATTGCTCCTATAGATAATTATCTTTGTTCTTATTTTAGCTTTTAAATTTGTAAACACCTACTCAGTTTTAATATAGAAACACTACGAAACTCATCCTCCTTTTTATATACAAAAGCTGAAACAATATGCAACCTCGCTAAGGAAAACATCAACCAACAAAGCCAAAAGTCGTCTTTTTACATAAACAAACTTAAGAATTATGACATTAAATACGATAAAGAGTTTACTTTTTTTTTACATAAACAAAGTTAGGAATTAACACATTAAGCATGATAAAGAGTTCTATTGAGACGACAATAACAAAAACGAATCAAAACCCTAAAACAACACAACATACATGACTAGAAAAGCTACAAAGCAGAAAAGCTTTAAAGATAAATTAGGAGTTAAAGATTTTTGCATTAAGGAGGAGTATGTTTATGGATAATGCAAAAATTAATATATGTTGCACTTCCATGTTTTCCATGTTTATACTTGGCAGGAAACGTAGAGGTTATTCCATACGCATTTCTTTAAAGCTAAACCTGAAGTATTTGTAGTTGAGTTGTCCAAGCTGAGACAAAAAGTGGTGAGTCGGCAGATACATTCATTATGAGGTTCAAGAAATTAAGAAACATATGCAAAGTATTCTTACTAGAGGTAGAATTTGTAAAGATGGCACAATGTGACTTGGACTTCAAAAAGCTGAGAAAAAAAGTTCCAGGGAATGGAGTTCAAGGACTTCTGTGAGCTTGCTGCAAGCATGGCAGAATATAAGAAACTACTAAATGAAGAGTCATAAAGGAATAGTTTAGCTATGGGTAGCTACTTTTAGGAGACTCATCAGGAGGTAGTCGTTCCTCATTTAGTCAATTTTGGTTCCTGTATTTGTCCCTTTCTTAAGGTACCTATAAAAGGGGGCTCTCAGGAGACGTATCAAGTGAACTCTGGAATTGAACCTCAATATGCTTTGATGTCTCCAAAACTAAGGATATTTTTTATTTCGTGCTCAAAGAACAATTAATTACTCTTTCAGCCAACCATAAGATTTCTACCAAAGAAGAACTAAAAGGAAGAGATTACTGCAAGCTACTGTTGCCCGATCCTCTATGGAGAGTAAGTATCGATCTATTTCTCATGTTATCTCTGAAATCATGTGGTTGGCATCCTTATTATCTGAACTTGGATTTTCTGTTTTACCTGCTACTCTTTGGTGTGGTAACATTGGTGCAATATATTTAAGTTCCAACCTAGTCTTTCATGTCCATACTAAACACATTGAACCGGACTACCACTTTGTTCGTGATCAAGTTCAACAAAAGAAGATTCAGGTTAAATTTATATCTGGTGATGATCGGGTGGCTGGTATCATGACCAAAGCCTTGGGGTCTTGTCTCTTTCTTTGCCATTGAGACAATCTTCATCTCCTCTCCTCTCCGCTTTCATAAAGGGGGTGTTAAGGTACTGTATTTATAATTGGATTGTTTTTGAGATATTCTTGATACTATGGTTGAGATTTTCTTTGCATTTTAGTTTAGATTATAGATTTAGTCTTTTGAGATATTTTTTGTTAGGATGCTGTATTTTTTGATTGAGATACTCTCTCCAAATAGTTTAGATTATAGACTTAGTCTTATAAGTACCCATAAATACCACCTTCAAGTGGCATTACAACTCAAATACCACCTTCAAGTGGATTACAACTCAAGCAATGCAAATATTCGATCATTCTCATTCTAATGCTTGTACAAATCATATTAAACCCGGTCAAACTCTTTGGTTCAATGAACGTCTACCTCTAATGGTTCAATGATCGATTTAGTTCTCAGAACATTATTGATTTCACATTATTTTATCCAAAGTCTTTGAGAACCCCAGAAGTCCCAATTTCTCTTCCCACCAAATTGAGGAATTAAGAATAGTTAAAAGTTTTTATTTCTCTTATTACCTATATTTTATTTTTTAAAAATCCTAAATCGCCCTTCTTTTATTTCTTTTCAGTTAACATTTCTATAATATATATAAAAGTACGAATGAGGGGGAATATTGAGTTCCTAAAATGCTCCTACTAAATTTATGAATTGACAAAAATATCATTACTAATTCTATTCAAATTATGATATCAATTTATTATTTTTATTATATTAACTAATTCTATTCAATTACTGATATCAATTTATATTCTATTCAAATTATGATATCAATTTATTATTTTTATTATATTAATATTATAAATTTAATCTCATTCTAATTAGAAATTTGTCCTATCATACCATTATAGATATATATATTTGGTTATCAAAAATTTGTTGCTTTTGACTATCAAGAATTATTCAATCAAGTTTTTGCTAATTTGAAATTATTGAGATTGCAATTATGTCTTCTTTTTACGGTAAGTACCCCTACAAATTTTTAGTTTTAATGATTGATTAAAAATATTATTAAGGAGAATTTAGTCCTATTCTAATTAGAAAATTGTTAATTTAATTGATATTTTATTGGTTGATTAAAAATATCACTAAAGATAATTTAATTTATTCTAATTAGCAAATTTTAATTTTATTGATTAATTAAAATTATATAATAATTTTTAGTTAGATTAGTTATATTAATTTTCTTAATTAGATTATTTTAATTAATTATCAAATCTTATTTCATTCTTTTTTCGTTGCTAAGAGTAGGTTCTAAAAACAGGGTAGCAGCGGAATATTTATCCGTTTCTAAAGTTCTAACCTAAATTGATCTCAGTCTTCTCCCATGGGTTAGGGTTGGGAAAGGGTTCTACAAATGGTTTGGCATCAGAATTTTTATCCTTTGCTAAAAGTTATAACCAAAATTGACAACCTATTTTGAATCTTTTTCTCTTTTATTCCTCCCTTTTATTTTATATTTTATTAATAAAAGTGTAAATTCTATTTCATTAGTAAGATTAATATTTGTTAAGATAATATTTTTTATTTTTTATCTTTTTAGTTTCAAATACTTCGATGGAAGTAAAGTAGCCATGAGAATCTCAATATTGAAATTATAATATAATAATAAATCATAATTTATGTATAGGAATTTCAAATTTTATTTGTATTTTATTGATTGGTTAACGATATCATTAATGATAATTTAGTCTCATCCTAATTAGAAAACTTTTAATTTTTTTGGTTGATTAAAATTATATAATAATTTTTAATTATATTGGTCAATATTATTTAATTAAACATATTAAACTGGGAAATATAAAAATAGAAAATGAGAATTTTTTTTATCTAAACCCTAAAATAAAAACTAATTATCAAATAAAGTTAAACATCCAGTTAAGAAACATGAATACATTTTAAAATATTTTAACTCAATTGATATAAAATTATGTAAATTTATTTTATATTAATTTAAATGACTTAAAAAATTTAAAAATAGTTCAAATAAATGATAAATTGATATCTATGATTAACTTAGTTATGTTAGCTAACTCTTTTAATATACAATTCTAAAAAAATAATAAAATAATTAATTAAAATAATTAAAAAATTAATACTTATTATTTAAATATTATTGTACCTTCAATAGTTGAACATAAGACGCATGAGTAATATCTTAATTATGAATAATTTATGAATTATAATATAACTCAATTAGGAAGATTATAAAATATGCTTATAAAAAGAATCACCATAATAATTTTATTTTTCTTTGGTATAAAAGAATCACCATAATAATTTTATTTTCTTTGGCTATTAGAGTTTTTAATTATTTTATATCAAAGACTTTTTCTTCTTATCATTTTACTTTTTAATCTTTAAAGATATTATTTGACTTGAGTTTATGATTATTTAACTTTTCCATATCGTTTCAATCATAAAGTTTTATTTTTGTTCCATTTTAATTTATTTGTTACAATTATTCATTCAATCGTTGCTCTACATACAATATTAATATAACAGCTAAAAATAAAAAAAAACTTAATAATATATTTGCTTTTTTTTTTCAAAATTATTATCTTATGAATTATAATATAACTCAATTAGGAAGATTATAAAATATGCTTATAAAAAGAATCACCATAATAATTTTATTTTTCTTTGGCTATAGAGTTTTTTATTATTTTATATCAAAGACTTTTCTTCTTATCATTTTACTTTTTAATCTTAAAGATATTATTTTACTTGAGTTATGATTATTTTTACTTTCCATATCGTTTCAATCATAAAGTTTTATTTTTTTGTTCCATTTTAATTTTTTTTTACAATATTCATTCATCTTGTCTACATACATATTATAATATTAACAGTAAAATAAAAAAAACTTAATTAATATATTTGTTTTTTTTTTCAATAATTTATTATCATTTTTATTATATTATGAAAAAATCAATAACTATATTTAGAAAAAAATAAAAAATAAATAAGTATAACAAGTTTTAACATATAAAGCATGTTCTTAATACTAGTTTATTTTATATGTTATTAAAAATTTAATTTAAAAAGAATTAATTTAATACTTATTAAATTAATATTTTATTAGATAAAATATTGTTAACTAATTTATATATCGAAAGTAAAAACTTTTATACTTTCTAAAAAAAAAAGTAAAAACTATTATAAAATGGCATTTTATAATTTCGTAGATAATCATATTTTTCAATACATTCAAATCAAATAATAAAACATGATTAAGCCTTTATTTTGCTTATCTTCCTTGCGGAAAAACATAAAAAAAAAAGAAAATTCCATTTCAATAAACCTTTCCCAAACAAAGGCTAAATTTGCATGATTCTACATTAGTTTCATGACAATCAAGAAAACAAGAGTTACCGCGAAAGTCTAAATTCTAAAAAATCCACTCTAAATACACACATAATAAAGCCAAATTCCGGCAACAAGGAAAACAAGGCTAGCACCAAGATGAGCTGAACCAGAAGGGGTGGGCCCAGCAGCAATGGCCGTGGCAGCTTCCTCTGATCTTATGATTTTTGGGGCATCAATTGGTTGTTGTTGAGGTATCACCTCCACCGGCAGCTTCAGTCCTTTCTTACAGCTCTCTAAGTTGCTGCTCACGAAGTAGCGGATCCCTTCCCCATCCAGCACGATGTTAAATAAGCCGTCGTTGTAAAGCTTGATTGGATTACGGACATCGCACGACTCGAATTCTTCCTTAGTCCCGAGCTCAGCTATTTTTCCATGAGCAGTGGAGTATGCGAACCCTATTTACAAATCAATATCAAAGGTTTTAACGTACCCCATGCTATACACGTGACTCAAGATTGCAAAAGAAACCGAACCGAAGAAATCAAATCACTATCGATGAGTTAAGAAATCCTGAAAACGACAAGGAGCAAATCTACAGGTCCTACCATAGAAATATAACCTACAGATTAGAATAAATATCGATTTAAATTGATTATTAATTTAAATTATTATTTGTAATAGTTCAAAAACACAATAAAATTTGATTCATAAAAATCAGCCTTTGAGGTCTTTAACTAAAATTACAAATTTTTTTTTTTTTTTAATATTAAAGAAGAAAGATTTGAACCTGAATCTATTATTAGGTCGCAAATAAATATAATTTTGGAGACAAATGACGGAAAAAAGTTAATAAAATGAATATATTTAAATGTAAGCTAATAAAATCATATATTTAAAATAAACTCTACATTTAATCTAGGAATGATTAAACTAATGTTGTTACATTTAATTGATGTAAAATCTATTTGTAATATAATCTAATTTTCGAACAGGAGATCACACCCTACAACCTGATTGGAAATATAAGCTGTAACTCATATTATTATGAAATTAATAATCTTACGAAACTATGTGCATTTATATTTTATTCAATAAAATATTTTATAATTTAATTAATAAGTTAATAATGTCATACAAGTTTTATTTAATTATTTACATTAATGGATTGGACATATTAAACTTGTATTCCAACCGAATTTGAAACAAATAATCAATTTTAAACTCATACCTAATTACAAAAAGATTCCACATCGATGAATGGTAGGATAGAACCTACTAATTACCAACCCTAGCAAATGCCTCCAAAAACAAGATTCCATTCCATCTACCGGAATTTAGAGAATAACTAATTTTCTGGCTTTCTTGACCGATGGTTGAGCTCCTCAATTTTTTGCTTTGATTCTTAATATAATTAGTTATTTCAACCTTTGAAATTTTCTTTTGAAAATCATCAAGTATTTAAAAAATTAACCTGTCTAACTAATCCTAATTCACGTCCAATTTACCGGTCTGACTAATCCTAATTCATGTCCGATAAACCCACGAACAGCTAAAACACTGAATACCAAGCTTTCGAATTTTGATTATTTGATTATTAAATAAGTCAATGCTCTTTGATAACAATCACATAACACTATCATTCAACATTTAAGAACTAAACTTTGTTAAGTACTTTCAAGCTCCATTTAGTATAAATGAACTTCCAATGTAGAATTCATTTTTAAATGAAATTAATAGAATTTATTTATAAATGAATTTTTCATGTTTAAAATAAATTTAAAATTTAAATTTCATTTGCTTTTATTTCTTAAAATATTTTTGGCATAATAAATTTAGAAGGCTACAAAGATATATAGTTTTATAATAAATTTTTGGATTTTTTAAATTTGTAGAATTTATTTAGAAATTTCTTACTTTATAAAATTTGATTTAGTTATATTTAAGTTCATAAATTAAATTCATAGAATTCAAATTTTCATTTTTTTTGTTGAGTATTGAAGAGGGGATTCGAATATAAATCTATTGTCAGTTCTTAATGCACTTACACCTAGTCTATGTCAGAGTTTGCTTTAAATTTTCATTTTTTTTTTTCACACAGACACAAAATTAGTCATGTAAATTATTTGGCAGTTACTATTTACATATTACTTAATATTAATAAAATTAAAATTCACGGTATTATAAATCAAAATTTTTTAATTTAAAATTCATAATTAATACAATAAATTTTAAATTATTTTATAATTTAGAAATTTCAATACTGACTGTGTTATAATAATTAAATTTATTTCTTTAAATTTTGCAGACTTAATTTTTAATCATGTAAAGTTCATCCCTCTTAGTCATGTCTAATACACTGTTTACTTTTTCTCAAGATTCGAGCTGTATGAAAATATTAAAATATTAAAATAGGAAACTACCACTCCTGGCAAACGCACACAAAATTAAGAAAAAAATATATATATATATATATTTTCGGCTTTCCCTTTGATTGGGGATGCATAATCTACAAGGCAAGCATAAAGTTTAATCTATTCCTAGACTAGTTTAGTTTTTTCTCAGCAACCAAACTCATGATGTAATTAATTAAGCTTCTCAAGAAATTAAAGAAGAGATCTAGGCTTACAAATTTTGTCTCCGACTCTGAAAGTTTTACCGGACGACCAAGAAGCCACATCGGAAGATGGGTCCCAGCCACGATCATCTCCAACCACATGGTGCACCTGGGCTCGAACCCACTCTGCACCAAGGCTCACTGAAACTATTATCAGAAGAACCACCCATGTCCTGAGGACGACGACCGCCATAGTCAATAAGGAGATGTTTTCTTTCTGTATAACTTAATAGGCTAAAGAAGAGGAGCGATAAAGCTAAAAGAATGCCTCTCTCTTTTTATGCACAAATAAAGCTTCTTCTAACTGACATTATTACAGAAACGAAAGGCCGGTTGGTATTGGGGGGTGGGTTAATGTTCTTGTGGGTGTGAGCCCACAACAAGTATTATGTATATCAGTCGCTCGCTCTTCTGGATTTTCTGGGCTCAACTCAAAATTAGTTTGGTCGGCACGTTTTCCAATTTTTCGGTAATTTTATTATTTTATATTTTTTATAAAAAATATTAAAATGATGAAAAAGAAATTGGTTAATAAGAAGTCAACTCTTCTTATACGGTGTAGCCTCACCAAGGCTATTATAATTAATATTGGTTAAGCCTTGAAAGATAAAGATGAAAATAAAGTTTGAGATAGAAAAAGAAGAATAGGAACGAAAGACAATTCTAAAATTGTAGATATTACTATTTATTTAAGTAGTATTTTTTTTGTAGTTTATGATATTAGGGTTTGAAACATCGAGGTTGGATTTAATTTATTTTAGTTTTAGTAAAATATTGAGCTCAATATATATTTATATTTTCACTTTAATTTTAAAAAATGATATAATGGGTTTTGATTAGTCTGTATCCGCATCTCTAAACTCATATCCAATCTAAATTTACAGTGAGTAGTTAAAATTTGATACTCATTTAATCAATAATCAACTTTAATTTAAATGGCATTTTGTGAATTACATACCTATAAAAGTTCACTTCGGAACAGACTAACTCATTTAATCATAATTCAGTAGACTTATAATACTTGTAATTAGTTACACTACTTAGTCTGTATGTTATATTAAATATAAAATTAATTTGATTGGCTAGTTTTCCATTTTTTTTGGTAACTTTACGAAATAGTTTTTTATAAGAAAAGAAAATAATAATAATAAAAAAAAACTATAGTTGATGCCTCAAGTACTGACCGTCAATTGAAAGCATAAGCAATCAACTGTAAAGTGTGCGGAAAACTAATCTACACGTGTATAGATTCATTTATACTTTAAATTAATTATAAATGGGGTTTTAATTTAAAACAAGAGTATTTTTAAATATTCATTTAAAAAGAAAAAAAAGGAGTAATTTAAAAAAAGAAATTTATTGACTTAGGGGTATTTGTTGAAGCTGAATGACAGCTTATTGCATCTCAAATCTTATTGGTTCAAATAAATAAAATTAAGTACATTTGTCTAGGCATTTTAGAAAAGTTTGCATCTCAAATCTTGTTCGCTGAGAAAGCATCCAACATTATAGCAGAGACTACAAGCAGGACAAAGGTAAATTCTAGAATAACTCCGTGTTAATGTGACGTGGGCGTAAAGAGCGGCTTAGGCGTTGACACCTGTGCAGGCTGATGCATTGCAAAAGTATGAGTGCATCCAACCTTAATACTGATAAAAGCAATTTTGAGCCACGTGAATGATTTTGGGCCACAAAAGGACAGTTGGTTTGGAGTAATTTCCGCGGTTTCTTTCCCGCCAACACTATGTGGCCTAATATGAGTATTGTTTTCTCAATTAATTAAAAATTGGTAACTAATATTCAACCTAATAAACATCAATCTTAGCCACATTTTAGGACCAAATAACAGAAACAATATATGGGCTTGATATTAGAGGATAATGCCTGTATATTTCTCACCCATTATTCGCATAAACCACCTAGCACTCTTGTCTTGCATATAAGGAGAAGCCCTCCTCCTAGAGAAGTTTAATGTCAATTCAACTTATTACATATAATCAAGCATTGTCACTTTTGAGAGATTATTACAATATTGAATCTATCAAATTGGTGCAGTGAGTGTGGACCTAATAAAAATCACGATACCCTCAGAATATTCACTCACTCAACTCACCCTGTTAGCATTTTAAGCCCCTCCCCCACCCTCCCCCGGTTCCTTGTGAGACGAGGGAGAAGACAACGACCACGGAGAAGACACTGACAACAAGAGTAGGAGAACCTGAGGGGACAGACAACCTAACTGAGAAGTTGATGCCCACACCCGCAGACATATCAGCATTAGACTTACAAGCAGCTGTCATGCTCACTCAAGCTTACAATGACTTTGCGATTGTCCTGCGAAGAATAATGGTTAGGCCAGTATCCCAGATTCCACCTGAAGGCAGACGCCAGGTCAACGCAACAAATGATGAAGGCGACACAGCTAATAAAACCATAGGTGATGGTATGGAAGAAGAAGACTCATCCTGGCGTACAGACACACATAATAAAACACAGACTCATATGCAGTCCACTCCCTTGCTTAGGAACATATGCCATAATGATGAGGAATAATTTCGAGCACAGAATTTGCAAATCTTAAAAGATTTTCGAGAAATAGGAGACAACACTGACTTTTGATTGAGGAATGATTCACCCTTAACCCCTGAGGTCATGCTGGTGCACTTAGCGCATAAGTTCAAGATGCCTATTTTCAAAACCTATGACGAAACCACCGACCTAAGAGTCACTTAGAGAATTTTCGCACTGTAATGCACATCCAAATGATAGCAGATGTCTTACTGTGCAGAGCATTTCCCATAACATTGTAAGGATCGGCACAAGAATGGTTTCAAATGCTCAAGACCGAAACTGTAGGCAGCTTTGCTCAATTGGCTACCTCATTCAAGGCTCAGTTCATTACTTGCATACCGAGCAAGAAAATATCATCAGACTTGATAGACTTAGAAAGGGCGGACGATGGGTCCCTTCGAGACTGCATTGAAAATTTCAAAAGCTCGTCATGCAGATAAAAGACCTAAACACCGAAGTGGCCATCAGTGCAATGGCTAAAAGTTGTACTTATAATAATTTTTTTGACTCATTGAATATTGACAGACTATACTCTTTTGAAGAATTGATGGCCCAAGCCAACAGCTTCGCCCGACTAGATTAGGCTTGGAAGGCCCAATAGGCGCATAATAAAGATGGCGAGTCTAAAAGAAGATCAGACAAACATAGGGGATTCTCCCTTACACGAGTCGACAGAACAAACAAAAGCTGACTGAGCTACTTAATACGCTTGCCTTATTCACACAATAATACCCCACCTGCAAGAGAGATCCAGTTCACACCTCTGTCCAAGAGCTGGACAGACATCCTGTAATAGTTGAAGGACAATTAGGAGAAACAAGAGGAGATCCACTTTAATTACCTAAGAAAGTCAAGAGAGGAATTCGATGAATAAAGTGATAAAGCAAATATTGTGCATTCCACAAGGATATCGACCATGACACCAGACAATGTTGGAAGTTAAAGAAAGAAATAGAACACCTAGTCTAATGAGGAGTCCTGAAGAAATTCATCAAGAGAGAAGGAGGCCTAGAACTCCCAGCCCAGCAAGCAGCCGAATGATCCAAGAGGGCGGGCAAACAATTGGTTAGATCTGAACTGATAAGCACAATTAACATGATTTTTAGTGGTGCCATAAGAGGAGATAACACCTCAGCGAGGAAAAGACATGCTCGAGAAATTTACTCTATTCGAGCCGAAGTACTAATAGAGCCTCTATAAAAGCTCATTACTATATTCGAGGAGGATGTAAAGCATGTCCACTTCCCACATTCTGATGCCCTGGTGATAGAAGGTGTAATGGAAAACTATAGAGTCAGGAGAATCCTGGTGGATGATGATAGCTCAGTGAATTTGATAATCCTAGAAGTGTTCAAAGCCTTAAAACTCAACGTCACCAAGCTAAAGTCAGTGCAAACTCCCTTGGTCGGTTTGGCAGGAAAGCAAGTATCAGTAGAAGGGAGCATGGAAATTGCTATAGAGCTCGGGGATGGCGAACATACCCGAGCAGAAAAGGCAGAGTTCATACTGGTAGACATCTCATTCCCCTACAATGTCATCTTCGATCGTCTGTTGCTCTGCACCTTAGGCGCTTGCACGTTAATCAAGTATCTTGTGATGAAATTTTTTACTCTAACTCTAGTGATGTTGTAATAGTCAGGGGCAATCAGAAAGTCGCTAAGGAGGCATACATGGTGGCTCTCAAGAGGGTGCAACTCACCCTCCCTCTCTAGATGGTCCCAGATACCGAGAATGAAGGATCGAATGTGAGCTTATATGAATCACCGGTGATCGAGCCATTCGACATACTAAAGGACCAAACTGAACTGAACCCAGAGCCTGACATACCCTGGGATTGTTTGGGTGATTTTAATGACATTCTAACAGCTTCGAAGAAAAGAGGTGGTCGTCCTCAACCCCAACATCTTATGACTGGTTTTCAAAATGCTCTTGATGATGTTCGTTGTCACGCCCGACTCTAATCACTAGAGGAATTGTCCACTTTGGATCAAGCCAAATTCCCCATACAATATTGGTAAGACCCGCATGGTTTTATCCCGCAGGTGAAATGGGAAACTTCCCAGGAGGTTACCCATCCTAGGATTTTCGTTAAGCGAGCACACCTAACCCTGGAGTTCTTCCAACTCTCCAGCCATTCCACCAAAAGGTGCCTCTAATGATTAGTTTCCCCCTTTTCATTCACGGGTGACGAAGCCCATTCGAACATACTAAAGGGACCCAAACTGAAACTGAACCCAAGGCCTGACATACCCTGGGATTGTTTGGGTGATTTTAATTGACCATTCTAACAAGCTGCGAAGAAAAGAGGTGGTCGTCCTCAACCCCAACAATTCTTATTGAACTGGTTTTCAAAATGCTTCTTGATGATGTTCGATTGTCACGCCCCGACTCTAATCACTGGTAGAGGGGAAGTGTGTTCCATTTTGGATTCAAGCCAAATTCCCCAACAATATTGGTAAGACCCGATAGGTTTTTTATCCCGCAGGTTTGAAATGGGGAAAACTTCCCAGGGAGGTTTACCCATCCTAGGATTTTCGTTAAGCGGCACACCTAACCCTGGAAGTTCTTCCAACTCTCCAGCCATTCCACCAAAAGGTGCCCTCTAGATATTAGTTTCCCCCTTTTTCTTTCGATATATGATTCGATTTATTCCTGTGTCCCACATTCCACTACTCTAGCTAGCTTGCCATCTTAGAAGCTAGCCAGGAGCTTCGCTCTACCCACGCTCTTAGGATCGCTTTGCCAGGTCAGGATGTCACTGGCCCACGAACTTCCTCGTGGTTTTTCCTCGAACCGTACATCTACTAGAGTGGGTCCTTCTCTGATGCCAACTGTCATGCCCGACTCTAATCACCAGAGGAATTGTCCGCTTTTGATCAAGCCAAATCCCCCATACAAGATTGGTAAGACCTGCACGGTTTTGTCCCGCAGGTGAGTCCCGCAGGTGAGATGGAAAACTTCTTAGTGCAGGTTACCCATCTTAGGGCATTTCCATTAAGTGACCCGTTTAAAACCCTGTAAGTTCTTCCAACTGCTGTTCTTCCAACTCTCCAGCCATTCCACCAAAAGGCGCCTCTAATGATTAGTTCCCCCTTTTCGATATATGATTCGATTTATTCCTGTGTCCCGCATTCTAGTACCCTAGCTAGCATGCCATCCTAAAAGCTAGCCAGGAGCTTCTCTCTGCCCGCGCTCTTAAGATCGCTTTGCCGGGTCAGGATGTCACAGGCCCATGAACTTCCGCGTGGTTCGTCCTCGAATCGTACATCTAATAAAGTGGGTCCTTCTCTGATGCCAACTGTTATGCCCAACTCTAATCACCAGAGGAATTGTCCGCTTTTGATCAAGCCAAATCCCCCATATAAGATTGGTTTGACCTGCACGGTTTTGTCCCGCAGGTGAGATGGAAACTTCTTAGGAGGTTACCCATCTTAGGATTTCCATTAAGTGACCACGCTTAGCCCTGAAGTTCTTCCAACTCTCTAGCCATTCCACCAAAAGGCGCCTCTAATGATTAGTTTCCCCCTTTTCGATATATGATTCGATTCATTCCTGTGTCCCGATATATGATTCGATCATTCCTGAATTGTCCCCGCATTTCCAGTACCCTAGTAGCATGCCATCCTAAAAGGCTAGCCAGGAGCTTCGCTCTACCCGCCCTCTTAGGATCGCAATATATGATTCGATTCATTCCTGTGTCCCGCATTCCAGTACCCTAGCTAGCATGCCATCCTAAAAGCTAGCCAGGAGCTTCGCTCTACCCGCCCTCTTAGGATCGCTTTGCCGAGTCGAGATTTCATATTGGTCTTTATGATTTTCCAATGACTGGTCATAAGTTCAGGTGGGACCATGGTCGGGGTAACCTACATTGGATCGAGGAGAAGCTTGACCGGATTTTCACTAATGATAGCTGGAGGTATAAATTTAGGTAAACTAGGGGATCAGTTCTAGAGATTTCATCCTCTGATCATCTGCTGGTTTTCGTATTTTTATTCCATAGGGGCATGTGTGGAAGTTTCATTTCGAGATTAGTTGGACCCGTGAAAGTGATTGGTGGAATGTTTTGCCAGTAGTTGGGCTAAGATTGAAGGCATACGCTCTCTTTTGAAACTACATCACTATAGTGTTATTCTTCATGCTTAGGGTACGAAGCTTCATCACCTTCATAAATGTGAATTAGCAGACTGTTTGCCGGTTTTTTCTTCACTTCATAGTTCTCGCTTTCCTGTTGATGTCCATCATTTTGCCAGGGCTAATAACAGATATCATGAGCTGTTGTTTCAGCAGGAGTTACATTAGAAGTAAAGGGCGAAGGAGTTCTGGTTAAAGGAGGGGATGCCAACACAAGGTTCTTCCATACTATGGCTACTATCAGGAAAAGACATAATGGCACTGAGAGGCTTAAAGATGATTTGGTGATGTGGCAAGATTGGAATTCAGACTTGGGAGGGTTGATGATTGGTTATTTCGATAATCTTTTTACTACTAATGTTTGTGACGCTTCTGTTGTTCTTGATAAGGGGCCCTGCATAGTTAGGGAAGAGCAAAATGACATGTTATTGGCTCCGTTTTTGATAGATGAAGTGAAGGATACTTTGTTCTACATGTAGCTGGATAAATCACCGGGTTTAGATGGTTTCAACCCGGCTTTCTATTAGAAATACTAGGATATTATGGCCCGGATGTTACAATCACTTGTAGTGCTTTTTTAGATTCAAGTAGCTTCCCTACTCTTAATGAAATAACTCTAATTCTTATTTTTAAGAAAAAGGTACAGGAGACTATGGGAGATCTTTGGCCTATTGCTCTGTGTAATGTGATCTATAAGGTGATGTCCAAGATGCTGGTTAACCGCCTGAAAAGGGTGCTTTCTTTTATAATTTCAGAGAGTCAAAGTGCCTTTGTTTGGGGAAGGAGCATTCAAGATAACTGTATTTTGGCTTATGAACTAATGCATATGATGCGAAGGAGGTTTCATGGTAGGGATTCCTTTGCTGTAGTTAAAATGGATATCAGCAAGACTTATGATCGAATGTAGTGGTCTTTCATCCAGGACATGATGCTTAAATTGAGTTTTTTGGATAGGTGGGTCGGCATGATTATGCATTATATTTCTTTAGTACGGTATTGGATTCCTTAGAAGGGAAAGGAGCTTGGCCCGATAATTCCTTCTCGAGGTTTTCAACAGGGTGATCCCCTTTCGCGTATTTGTTCATTATTGGGCTGAGGGTTTATCTCGACTTATTCAGTTTCATGTGGATGTTGGTAACTTACATGATTGTTATGCCTCTAGAGGAGGTTCGATCATCACCCACCTTTTCTTTGTTGATGACAGCATGATTTTTTTCAAAGCTAAGGGCCAGGAGGCTCATACTATAAAGTGGATTCTTAGGGATTACGAGATGGCTTTTGGACAAATGATCAATTACAGTATATCTTCGATTGCTTTTAGCACTAATGCCCAGGTGGATTTTCGTCATTCTATTTGCTTTATTTTGGGAGTGGTTAAGAAAGAAAACTTGTGTACCTATTTAGGAATTCCTTCTGTGGTTGGTCGTAACAGGAAGGAGGTTTTTGGTTATCTGAAGGATAGAGTTTGGAGTAAGCTAAACTCGTGGAAACAGAGGGCACTCTCTTGTGCAGGCAAGGAGGTTCTCATCAAAACAGTTCTCCAAGCTCTCCCAAACTATGTGATGAGTTTGTTTTTATTGCCGATAATGTTTTGTGCGGAGCTGGAGAGAATAATGACAGCTTATTGGTGGGGTAAAGGTATTGCGAATGATCGAGGGATTCACTGGGTAGGTTGGACTAGGACGACTAGACATAAAGCTTTGGGTGGTTTGGGGTTTAAGCATCTCCGTGCATTTAATCTTGCAATATTGGGGAAGCAAGGGTGGAATCTAGTTTCTAGACCTGATTCGTCGTTGTTAGGGTGTTAAAAGCCAAATATTATCCCACCTACTCTTTTCTTACATTGGCTTTGGGAAATAATCGCAGTTATGTGTGGCGAAGTATCTAGGAATTGAGGGTAGTCATCAATAGTGGGGTCTACTGGAGAATCGAAGATGGGCAAGATGTTCTGATTTGGGATGATCCTTGGCTTAAAAATGCGACTAATTCTTTTATCTCCTCTGCTAGACTAGCTGATGTCTTGTTGTTTTGAATATCTGATTTGCTGCTAGATCATTATTGGAATTTGGGGCTGGTAGACTCACTTTTTAATGAAAGAGATAAGCAGCTTATAGCTGCTATCCCACTAAGTCGGATTCCACAGGTTGATAAGTTATGTTGGAAGTTTGAGGAGAAGGGCATGTATTCGGTACGTAGTGCTTATCGATTTCTTTGTGGTCAAGGTCCTTGGTTCCGTTAGTTGTGCAGCAGGTCTAGAGGAAATATTGGCGGATCCATGTCCCACCAAAGGTTCTAAATTCTTATTGGCATGCGTTGAGAGATGCAATCCCTTGCATGTCTTTATTGAGTAAGAAATGTGTTCCAATGAACACTCTTTGCCCAATTTGTCATGGAGAAGAGGAGACTATTATGCATGTCTTATTGCAGTGCCCTTTTGCTCGGAGTTACTGGGTTTCGTCTTCATTAGGTTGGTAGTTTCTGGGGCTCAATGATTTAATGGACTGGTTTATTCATGTTTTCCTTCTCATGACTATTAAGGATGCAGCTACAATTCTTATGGTCTGCTAGGACAAACCAGAACAATGTAGTATGGAAATAAAGCCATCAGTCTCCTCATTTTGTGTTTATGCTAGCTTCTCGGAGTCTTGATGAGTGGAGAAGTGCTCAAAGCCTTGGTGATGCTGGGTCTGTTTCGCCAGTAAGTCCGGTAATCTAGACCAGACCGACGACAGGTTGGTTTAAGGTTAATATTGATGCTGCCACCGGTGCAACACCGGGTTTTGTGGGTATAGGGTGTGTGGTCAAAGATTAGGAGGGACATTTTATTGCAGCTTACGCGACTAGAGAGTCTGGTGGAGTGGACGCGAAGTGTGCTAAAGCCATAGCTATCAAGTGTGCTGAAGGTTGGAGCCATGTGGTCTTTCAGTCTGATGGCTTACGCGACTAGGCATTTAGCGACAATTTTTGTCGCTAAATTTTGATGGTAAAATTTATCTAGCGTAAAGTTATAATTTTTAAAAACTTTTATCGCTAGTATGTCACTAAATGCCAACACATTAGCAACAAAAATATTTTATCGATAATTTATTGCAATTTATTGGTAATTTATCACTAAATTTCATTATTTACAGTCTGTTTTTTGCCTAAAATTTTAAAATTTTTTTAAACATTTATTGCTAATTTGTCAGTAATTTGTCCCTAACTTGTCTCTAATTTGACGGTAGATTTTTTAGAATATGCTCATATCTATGGCGCGATTTTTACCGATAAAAATTCACATTTGTCGCTAAATTTTGTTGTTAATTTGTTGCTAATTTGTCAGAAAACTAGGCGCCCTTAAATAATATTTTTGTCGCTAATATTAAACAATATTTTTTATTTTAAAATTAAATTTTGTCAGTAATTTGTTATTGACTTGTAGCTAAATACTGATAAAAAATCTTTTGACAGAAAATTTTAATTTTCTTATAGTTAATTCTCGTTAAGAATCAAACACAAACCTTGATCTAATACGGTAATACCAATTGTTAGATTGAACTCTAGCCACGAGGCCAAAAGCTTGTGCAACTCTTTCTACTTAACCGCACTAGTCTAAGCGCCATGTTTTGACTATAACTTGGCTCATTTACACCTTCACCGTGAAACAATTGCTGCCACAACCTTGGCCAACATTATTGAATTCAAAAAGAATATAAATTTTTACCGTTATTTTATGAGAATTCAAAGAATTTGCTAAAAAGTTTCCTTTTCTTTTTTTTTTCTTTTTTTGAAAGTGATGATTTAGTGACAAATATTTTAAATCTGTATTTATAAAAGTGGTTTATTACAAAATATTTTATATTTTTGTAAAGGTTATTACTATTTTGTAATAGATAATTGTACTTTGTAAAGGTTAGGAGAATTACAAAATACTCCCAAAAGGTTTGCAAAATTTCTAAATGTATACATGTAAATGATTATTTTTCCCATGACAATTTTTAAGATTTTTCACTAAATAAAAAACTTTTATCAATATCTTAATGAGTTAAGGGTAAAAAATGACAAAATAACTTTTATTAACTAAATTCTTAGTATGCGTGTTTTGTCAAACCATGCAAATAAAATGGAAAATAAAAAACTTTATCAATATTCTTAATGAGTTTAAGGGTAAAAAAATTGAACAAATAACTTTTAATGAGTTAAGGGTAAAAAATGACAAAATAACTTTTATTAACTAAATTCTTAGTATGCGTGTTTTGTCAAACCATGCAAATAAAATGGAACGGAGGGAATAATATGTAATTTCTGCAAAATATAGTAACTTTTACTAAATATTAATAGAAGTAAAATTTATTTTCTACTCCTTGTGTCATATAATCCTTTTTCTAGTTTTTTTTGAAAATAATCCTTTTTCTAGTTTAACTTGCATACATTTTTAAAAAATACATTTAATAAATATGGTTAAATTATAAGTTTACCATTTTGTGTATCGATATTGAAAATTTTTTCAATTGCATTAATTATTTTAAAGTAACACTAATTCCAAAAAAAAAAAAAAAAAGGGAAAGAACATATCCCGCCAAAGGTAATGCATTTCATTCACAGAGTATGTAGGAGCTATCTCCCAATCAATTTGAACCTTGTAAAAACATGTCAGCTCCTCAAATTTTTAATCAAGCGTTACGTTTTGCCTGAAGAATTTCAGGGAGGGCCGATAATGGCAAACCAGGTTTTACAGCAAACTTTTAGAAGGAACGTGTCCTAGGTTCCTCCTGCAACAGGTCATTTCAAGATCAATTCAGATGCTGCTATTTCTGATCATAGGGAATGTGGTTTTGGCATATGATTATAAGAAATGAACATGGCGATGTTATGGCAACATGGCCTTGCAAATTCCAGTCTCAGTTGAATCTGGAAGACGCTGAAATTGCCGCAGCTATTTTTGCAGTAGATATGGCTTTTCAAATGGGATTTCTTCATATAGAACTTGATTCTGATTGTCTTGCTATGATTCATAAATTAAAGAATTTGGAGTTGCCACAAACAGAGCTTGGAACCAGAATTCTACAACTTAAACAACTCCTTTCTTCTTTTACAATCTGTTTGAAAATGAGAGAAATGAAAACACGAAGGAATCAAAATAATGATGAATTATTAATTGTCTTTTTATTGTTATTTTTCACCCTTGTGTTTGGATACTGATGAAAAAAAAAAAATTATTTTTCTTTGGAAAGGCAAGATTGTGGAGGAAAAAATTATTAATATTGATATCTTACCATTTTAATCTCATTGATACTTTAAAAGGACTTTAATGATCATATAACTTCAATATCTAATGAAAATTAATTTGGGTATTTCATTAATTGTGTGAAAATTGGAGAAACTTTAACATTTTACCGTTATTTTCTCTACCAAATGGAGAGATTCTATTTGTGAGAGATAGGTAGGAAAATAAATTAATTTTTCTTCTTTTTCAAACAAGTTAAAATTGCTTCCCACATATTTTGATTCCTTCAAAAAAATACCTCCATCCAAACAAAGCCTTATCTTTCTACTTGTTTACATGTACGTAGACTAGGCAACAAAGTGACGCATGCCCTTGCTCAACAAACTTTCTCCACTGATTTTGAGAAGCTAATCTGAACAGAAAAAGTGCCATCCTCTATTTCTTCTCTTGTTCTGAATGATTTGATTCACAGTTAATTGACAAAACACGTTTTAGTAAATTATCTTTTGAGTTTGTTAAAAAACATAAATTGTTCTTGTAAAATTCATAAATTCATAAAAAAAAAAAAAAATGATGTACAATACTCCTGAAGCCGGAAATTCATTCCCAATATTTACTTAAAAAACTTTTTCCTTGTGATTGCATTCATTCCCACGTTTCTCATAGCAATTTTGTTTGTAGGGACACTTGTCAAATTATTGTGCAATTTTATATCTTTAGCCAATAGCCGGTCACAAAACTCCAATGAGTAAGTAATATGAAGTCATGGTAACGTTATTTACTCTTGCATTACCCTATCAAGCGCCAACCTAATTGTAATTCAAAGACACGCACTACACTACTACCCAACCGTACCTGCCTACTAGTCAGACTTATACCTTGCCTGATATTTTTAACAAACAATGATACAGTGACAGCAAGTTAGAGTTTCCTTTTTCTACCCTCTGGTCGTCTTGAGACAGCTGGCCGTGTTTGTCTTAGCATAACCAGAACTTGGCTGTCAGTTTTGACATTCTCTTGAAACGACCTTTTTTTTTTTTTTTTTTTCCAGAACTTGCTGTCAGTTTTGACATTCTCTGAAACTGACCTTTTTATTTTTCTTTTTTTTTTTTTTTTTTTCCTCGCATTTTATCAGCAGGAACCCTACCTACCTACCAGTCAATACCAGTAAAGTTTTAAGATCGGTGATGTGGCATGTGAGGATGATAAATTGGGCCAGTTCCGTGGTACTCTCGGGGGGATGAAGTTATGGTTGGGTTGAATGCCAGCTATTTGTCGGGAACAAAAGAATTCCGACGATAAAATAAAATACTCCCGTTTTTTTTACATATAAAGAAAGTAGTTCAATTAAATTTTGTGTCATTTGTTTCATAATTTACCTTAATATTTCATTTTTTTTTTCTAATATCAATGCATGCCTTAAATTATACTTCAATCTTTAATGAGACTTTAAATATTTTGTTAAAATGAAGAAAATACAAATAGATGTAAAAATGAAGTTTATGCTCTTACTTTGAAGAGAAATTCATTTTTTGTTCTCTATTTTAAAAAGTTGTGTAGAAATATAAAAATTTGTGCTCATTTAACTTTCTAACTGCATTTGATTATTAAAAACATATTTCAAATATCGCGCAATTTTTTAAATGTTCGGTGAAGTATGTAAGAATTCATTTCAATGTGGTCAACTTGAAAATTTTATGGCACTTTTCTATTCAAACTCCATTTTAATCGGAATTAAAATAGGGAGATCCGCTTTCTCCACTCTTGTTTATCTTAGCTTCAGAAGGATTTTCAAGGGGACTCAATCAGTTGGTAACTCAAAGGAAAATAGCTCCTTACAAGACAGCTAGAGGATGTGATATTATTACTCATCTTGCATTCGCCGATGATCTCCTCATATTTATTAACGGAGATGTTAAAAGTGCCAAGCAATTTAATCATATTTATTAACGGAGATGTTAAAAGTGCCAAGCAATTTAATGAATTTCTGCAGCTTTATCAAAGAGCCTCTGGTCAACTGGTTAACCTTAGCAAAAGCTCTTTCTTTTGTTCTCCAAAAGTCTCCTCGGCTTACAGGGACAAAATCCGTTCCATTCTTTCCATCACAAGTAAAGATCTTCCACTTATGTACTTGGGGGCTCCCATATATAAAGGCATCAACAGGGCCCAATATTGCACATATCTTCTTCAGAAAATTGATGCTAAGCTGAATGGATGGACAAAAAAGTTTCTTTCCATTGGGGGTCGACTGCTCCTTATTAAACATATCCTGAGCTCTATTCCGATACATACGCTAGGAGCCATGTCTCTACCGAAAAGTATTATTGCTATCCTTGAAAAAAAAATTTGCAGATTTCTTCTGGTCTTCTAACACTGCTACTCACAGGTATCATTGGTTAAACTATAACAAATTTTGCTTCCCTGTGGAAGAAGGCGGTCTTGGTCTACGATCGCTGACCTCTCTCCAAACTGCTTATTCCCTTAAACTGTGGTGGAGATATTGTGAAGGAAAATCATCTTGGGCAAAGCTGCTACGGAAGAAATACCATAGAAAAGGACTTATGCAGTTTAAAACTACTGACTCATGCACTCATTGCACCTGCGAAGAGAATTTTGTTCAAAAGTTTCATTTCAACAGCAAAGCACGTTAACTTCTTATTAGCAGGAAGAAGTCCTTGTTGGCTGCGAACAACAGGGAGAGCTTTCTGTTTAAAAATTAGCATATTGCATTTAGTGAGGAG